TTCCGACTGCGCTGGAAGGCCATCCTGGTGTCCTCACTCAGCGTCGCCTTGGTGCTGCTCTTGCTGTGCTTTCACCGCTCGGCCACGGGGAGACCAGCCCCGGCCAACGCCCACAACTGGCGGCTCAGCCCGCTGCCCGGGGACAGGTACAATGACACCTACCCGCTGTCCCCGCCCCAGAGGAACTCGGAAGGGGTGCGCTACCGGATCGGGGTCATTGCCGACCTGGACACCGGCTCCAAGGGCCCACGGGAGCACACCTGGTTCAGTTACCTGAAGAAGGGCTACCTGACCCTGTCGGCCAGCGGGGACAGAGTGACGGTGGAGTGGGACCGGGCCGACAGCCTGCTGGAGTCGCATCTGGCTGAAAAGGGGAGAGGCATGGAGCTCTCGGAGCTGGTCGTCTTCAACGGGAAGCTGTATGCAGTGGACGACCGGACGGGAGTGGTCTACCTGATCGAGGGCACCACGGTGGTGCCCTGGGTGATCCTATCAGATGGGGATGGCACCGTGGGCAAAGGTGAGCTCTGCCTCTCCCCTCGTCTTCCCTGCCGCAGCCTGATCCAGGGCAAACTGTGCAGCCAGAGCTGAGCTGCCCGGTGACCAGTAGCCCAGCCCCTCCTTTCATGCCCTGCTGGGCGTCTGTGGATCATGGCCACGGGAATCCCCCCAAGGAGCGGCTGGGAGAGGCTTTCCTGACTGCTGGGGGACCTACCCTGCTGGCCCAGTCTGCCCTTGCTTGGGGCCCTATCCCCTGTGGGTGCATCCACCCCTTCCCCCTGACTGCAGGGCTGAAGTCCCCGTGCAAGCTAACACTGGGTCTTTCTGCCTAGGCTTTAAAGCAGAGTGGCTGGCAGTGAAGGATGAACACTTGTACGTGGGTGGCCTGGGGAAGGAGTGGACCACGGCCACCGGGGAGGTGATGAATGAGAACCCCGAGTGGGTGAAGGTGGTCGGCTCCAAGGGGGACGTGGGCCATGAGAACTGGGTGTCTAACTACAACGCCCTGAGGGCAGCGGCTGGCATCAGACCCCCAGGTAAGAGGTGGGGCTCGCCCCCAGCTGCCCCACAGCCCTGGACAGTCCCATCTGCACTTGGGAGGGCCTGGAAGGAATTCCCTATTCTGTACCCTCCAGGCTGCGGGGGGCAATGCAAGTGCTAAAGGAACTGGGGGTTTGACCTCCCCTCGCCCCACCCATGGGGAGCGGATGTGGGTGGGGCTGGGTGCCAGGGGCTAGGCCCCTCCTGCCCATCGTGCTGTGACCAGTCTTGTGCCCGCAGTGGTGGGAGAGCCATGTCCAGCAGGGTGCCGTCCCTGGGCGCGCTGGCAGTCTGTAGCCCCACGGAGCAGGGCCGTGGTGTGTGCTGCCCTCTGTGTTAGGGGAGCTGGGAGGGGGAATCTGCTCCTCGCGAGCATGCAACTTCAGCCTGGCTGGCCTCCCGCCCTGTCCAGATTTGCTGGCTGCCGGCTCTGCACCATCCGTGCAGCATAGCAGGAATCCTAGCGAGGAGGGGGTCTGCTGGCACCCGCTCCCCTGCGCCAGGAATGGGGGCCGTGGCCCAGGGCATCTGTCACATCCAGATAGCAGTGGCAGCCCCTGGCTCCTCGCCCTGTGCTCTGCCTGCCTAGGAGTCGCTCTCACCCTGGCCCTGCCCTCCCCAGGTTACCTCATCCACGAGTCGGCCGCCTGGAGCGAGACGCTGCAGCGCTGGTTCTTCCTGCCGCGCCGGGCTAGCCAGGAGCGCTACGACGAGAAGGCCGACGAGCACCGGGGCACCAACCTGCTGCTGCGGGCCACGCAGGACTTCGGCGACATCGCCGTCAGCCACGTGGGGGCCGCGGTCCCGACCCACGGCTTCTCCTCCTTCAAATTCATCCCCGACACTGACGACCAGCTGATCGTGGCCCTGAAATCGGAGGAGGACGATGGCAAGATCGCCACCTACATCATGGCCTTCACGCTGGACGGGCGCTTCCTGCTGCCGGAGACCAGGATCGGGGCCATGAAATACGAAGGGATTGAGTTTATTTAACAGGGACTCTGTCCTGGTGGGGACGCCCCGGGGTCAGGCGCGCGGGGCTTTGCCTGAACTTAGTCGCCGTGGGGGGCGCGCCGCTCCTGAGCTGGCCTGGATCCCCGTGGGAGGTGGCTCCGGGGCTGGGTCCCAGGCTTCTGCAGTTACCATGTTGGTGAGTTGCTGCAGCACATGTGGCTTGAATGTCTGGGCCCCGGCACCTGGTGGTGAAAGGCCATCACTGCAAGCTTCCACGTGGTCCTCTGCAGGGCTGCAAGCCCTTGTCCTGCACCCCAGGGCCCTTCCCAGGCTGCCCCGCAGAGCGCTGGGTGCTGACAGGGGAGGTCTCCAGGGAGCTTAGCGAAGCTGTGAGGCAGCCGCTCGGAGGGCGTTTCCTTCCTGCCCAGCCAGGGCAGTGGAATTGCTCAGCATCTCTGAGACTGGCCCATGATTTCCCCTCCCACCGGCAGGGCCCTGCACCGCAGCCTGGTGCTCCCGCTGCTACGTTACCCTGGAGTTTCCCTGCAGCACAAAGGGCCTTTGCGGTGCACAGCAGAGTGGGAGCAGCTCGTGCCCAGTAGGCTGGTGTGTAGCAACCAGCCCCCGGACGCTGCTCTTCTGCCTGCGGAGCAGCCGGGGCGGATGCGCAGGGCCTGGCTGGGTCGGAAGGGAGCCGTGCTACAGCCCGGGCCGTTTAACAGGTTAAATTAACCAAAGTGAAACGCCCCCGAACTCCGTGTGAGGGTTTCACTCTGCTCTGTGCCACGGGGCCTCCTGCTGGGAACCGCCATGCTGGAGAAGTGGGGATCCCAGCTGGGGCGTCCAATTCCCTCCCTTACAGCCAGTGGCCAGGCGTCCCCTCTGAATCCGCCTGCCCAGCCTGGCCCTTGTTCCCGGCTTACCTGGCATCTCCCTCCCCACCGCCTGGGGCAGGCGCCGAGCTCGGCAGGTTAGGGCTCCGACTTGCAGCTCTCTGGGGATGGGAGCAGGCCAGCGCCTGACCCTGCGCTGAGCCCTGAGGGCCCTGCCCTGGCCTGCTGCCACTCTCAGCTCCCTGCTCCTTTGCCCTGGGAAGGGGCCAGGACAGTGGCCTGGCCCTCCTGACACAAGCTGCTTCCCCCCCATGCCTCCCTCTGGCCCAAGGGGCTGTCCCTAGGTACTCCGGCCTTGCGGGGCCTGTGCAAAGGCCCTTTCCTCTTCAGAGTGCTCTGGGGTCCTGGCCTCTGTTGTGCCCCTGGGGAGGGCCCAGCCCCACTCTCTGGCTGGGGAGGGGAATGGCTAAGTGACTTTGAATGGAGCCTTGTCCCTGCATCTGCCCCACAGGCCAGGAGTCCCTCTGCCCTGGCCCCTCACCAAGGCCCGCCTGCCTGCGCTGTACACAGAGAACAGGCCAAGTCAGGCAGGAATCCACACAAGCTCTGGCCCAGGCCCCTGCCTGGTCCCTGCCCTGCTGGCTGACAGATGCAGCATTTGCACCTGGTTAGTGACTTTCCGGCCCCTCTGCTGTGACCTGGATGTGGTGCTTGGCTGCTGTATCCATTCGATAAACCAGACCATTCTGGGGTGAGCGCGTCGCCCTCCAGCTCTGTGGGCAGGGCGTCCTCCAGCTCTGGGTAGGAGGGCAGTGAAACGGGACAATCCCAACCAGCCAACAGTGCAGTGTGGCTTGGCCCCTGGAAATGGCTGCAGTGCAGAATGGGATTGGCCTGTTCCTGAGTCCTCCCCTGTCCTGGTGAGGCTCTGGCTCTGTAGGAGCTGGGCAGATGTTGCTTTATGAATCGGTGCTGGCAGTATTGCTGAAATGGGCTCGCTGGCACATCTCCAGCAGGGTTCCTTCGCCCGCACAGCAGGTCCGTTCTGTAGGCAGCCTTCCCCTGGTTGGAGCCCCGATATCCTGTCCTGTGGGCTAGGGCCTGGCGAGCCCCCTTCACACACTTCAGTGGTACAGTGCAGGGAAAGGGGAACCTGCCCTATGCGTCTCTTTCAGAGCAGCACACGCAGGGTCCCCACTGGCACCGGGAGAGCGTCCCACACCCCTGTGAGCAGTCCCAGAGACTGGGGCAGGGTGGCACTCGGCCAGGAGACCTCGCAGAGCCCTTGGCTGCCTGGTGCAGAGCAGCAGCTGTGGGTCTCCGTCCTGGGGGTGGGAGAGCTCTGCTGCCCCTTCCCTTGTCTTGCCCCGTGCCCCCTGGGGGCAGGGGGGAGCGCCTGGCCTGTTCCTCTGGCAGAGACCGGCTCCCCTTTCCTGTGGCAGGCCGGGCTGACCTGACTCGGGCCTTGGCTCGGTGTTCCCTGGGGCGTGGGGCGCAAAGGCTCTCGGTCAGGGGTAGTCAATTATTTTTTGTCAAGGTCCAGACTTGAGAGACACGTTTCACACCCCACTAGCACTAACAATAACCAGGAAATAAACAGATTTTTGTGGTCCGTTCAAACGCGTCAGGTGGTCCAGATGTGGCCTGTGCTCTGTCTATTGACTGCTCCTGCAGCTGGTCTCCTCTGTGGGGCTTCGCTGCAGGGTCTGGTGGGCCGGCCCTCTGCTCTCCTGAGGCCCCATTCCCAGCACGCTTGGAGCAGGACAGAGGGTCGAGACCCTGCCCTGGGGCACCAGTGGGGTGTCGGTGCTGAGCCCAGAGCGGGTTCCCGGGGGTCTCTGGGGCCGACGTCCTGCCGTGCTGGAAAACCAACTTGCGTCAGTAGGTGGCAGCATCCATCTGCTGGCGGCGCAGGGCCTGGCGCCCAGGCTCCCGTTGCAGGCCCAACGCGCTCTGGTTTGGGGGGTGATTTTTACCGGAGGCGTCCAGGGAGGCCCTGTGGTCAGTTGGAGAGCTGGCGGGGCGCCGGCCCCCCAGAGCAAGAGCAGGAGGGATTTGTGGTGCTGAGGCTTTGTGCCCCTGCCAGCCTGGGGGTGGTGCTGAGGATCGTGGTTCCTTTCCAGCTCGGGCAGCGTCTGGGTGCATGAGGCGATGGGAGCGGAAAGTCAGCTGTGCTGCTGACTCACTGCGACGGTGGGCGCCTCACTCCCTGCCTCAGTTTCCCCATGCCCCTCTCTGGGAAACGCTTTGAGGTCTCCAGGAAAGCTGGTTGCACTGCTGCTTCACTGAGTCGCCAAAGGCCGGGCCCAGTGGCTCTCCCTTCGGCACGTCTCGCATGGCTGCGCTGTCCCATCCACACAGCCCTGGCACCTGGCAATGCAGAGGGGAACGGGGGCTGTCCAGCCCCAGCGTGCTCCACTGAGGGCTCAGCTGGCCCGTCTCTCGGCTTGGCGGGGAAGACGTGGGGCACTGTGCGCTGACTTGGGGAGCTTGTCCTCGACTGGTGCTGCTCCCCTCCCCTGGCTCGCCAGCCCACGCCCCTGGGGGGCTACGGATTGCGAACCCCCACGTTCACAACGCCCCTCCTCTTACCAGCCTCTAGTCTAACACCCTTTGTTCCAGGGCTCTGGGCAACAGGGCCAGCGAGCGCACCCAAATGCCTGGGGTCTTCCAGCTGCCCGTTATCTCTGTCCCCCCAGCCACCACCCCGTAGCACCTGCAGAGTTCTCGGGACTGCGCCCAGCACCATGGAGCCTATGGTGACCAGTAGCAGCTGCCAGCAAACAGAACAAGAAGCCTGGGTGCTCGAAAGGGGTAGAGGAGCCCTGTGCTCAGGCCCTGGCCCCATGCCCGGCTCACGCTTGCCCCGTGGTGCTTGGCTGGCCCCTCAACTGTGGCGAGGACCTGTGAGCCGTCTGTGTCCCTGCAGGAGTGCAGACAAGGCTCTGTCTCACGCTCCTTACGTTTGCTCCTTGTCACTTTCATAAATGCGGCGGCCAGGGGCAGGATTTCCTACAGCTGGAAAGCCCTGCTACTGGGGTCTGATGTGGGGCATGCAGGGTCGACCCTGGGGGCAGAACTGATCTAGTCCCCGCTGCCCATGCCCAGTGATGCCAGCTGGGGTGGTGCATGGAGGCTGCGTTGCTGCATGCTCGCTGGAGCATGGTGGGCTCTCCCCTGGGCTGCAGCATGGAGCTGTCTCGGAATGGCTCTGGCCCCTGGTAAGTAAAGCGAACGTGGAGGACACTGCTTTGGTGGTTTCCTGACTGCGGGAATGACCCCTTGGCCCCTTGCGGGCCATGAAAAAGAAGCTGGACAATATTCAGCTGAATCGCCTCTGAATGAATGAAAATATGAAACGGTTCAAGGTCAGGTCGACTGCAGAGATCTGCTTCCCAGCTGAGCAGGTCCTGCTCTCAAATGGGCACCCCACCCTCTAAGGGCCGGTCTGCACTGAACAGCACACGGCAGAGCTCCGTGGCTCAGGGCAGGGGCGTGAAACACCCCCCCACACACACACCCCCGGACACGGCTCTGCCGAGCCACCCCGGTGCAGACAGCGCTAGGTTGACAGAAGACTTCTCCCGTTGGCCTAGCCGCGGCCTCTCGGGGAGGGGGATTAACTCCGGCAGCAGGAGAGCCCCTCTGTCTAACAGAGGCACTACAGCCGTGCAGCGGCTGTGTTGTGACTGTAGACACCCGCCGATGGTAAGTCATTGCTCCGAATGCCTACTGCTTCCCTGCAAGCCCTGGCTTCTGCTTTGACCCAATGCAAGCAGGAGGGGCTGGAAGAGACCCCTGGGAGGCTGGAAGGTCCCGCGAGATACCCGTCCCTCACAGTAAGGCAGCAGACCTGGCTCAGGGCAGCACCTAGGGCTTATGGAGGCACGTAACGTGTTGGTGGCTCTGTGCTCTCCAAGCAACGATAGCCTGAGAACAGGCCCCTCGGTCAGCGCTCTCCCAGAGACCCCGCGGAGCCAGACGAAAGGAGGCTCTGCGGGTACCGAGACTTGGGGCACGTGGCCCTCTCCAGCCAGGGGCTTGGAGCTGCTGCTTCGCTCTCCCTGGGATTCCTCAGGCCACTTTGCAGAGACCGGGGCTGCATATTCCAGCGATGGTAGGAACTGGTCAGCTGGAGGCTCACACCATGCGCATGCTAATCAGCATCCACCAGCGCATTGGAGAGGTCTCCCAGGGAACCAGTTTAACCTCCTCAGGATGGTGAATGGTGTGACCTGCCGTGCGAGGCTATGGGTGGGATCACCAGCCATCCCTCACGCTGGAGTTGAATTCATTGCCTGTCGGTTCAGTTCCTGTGTAGAGGAAGCCCAGGGCTCTGCCTCTGGGAGCCACAAGGGAGTCCTGGGTCAGGCCGGCGTGTCCAGGCGAGTACGCGTGGCCTGAGCTAGCTCGAGAGAAAAGCTCTCGTGTAGTGGAGGGGTTCACTAAGTGGTGGTGAAGCGTGTGTGAGACGTGGCGGCTGGCTCAGGTCGCTGCCCGTCTCTGCTGTGGAAGGTGCCAGGGGAGGATGAAAAGGAGGTGACTGTGGCAGATCTCATCTCTGTTCAGTACAGGCCCCCGGTCACACGGACAGCCCCAAGTGAGGGCTTGTATACGGTTCTGTGAATGTGAGGGGTGGGGCTGGGAGCGGGGGGTGGGGGTGAACCCGACTGTCTCTCATATCTCACAGCCCACGTACCCCAGGAGGGCTGAGCTCACAGCGTGCGAAGGCAGCAGGAGCAGGGCGGCAGTTCTTCCTTCTCC